CGGGTGTGACCTCACGAAGCTCAGCCCGTCTTAGCCTTGGGTTGTTGTAAACTTCGCTGTGGGCATTGTTTGCTTATGGAAGTTATGATACTTATAGTTGTTCCTCTACCATAGCACAGCGTGATTGTACTGTGTTCCCATAGCATCTTAGCACACGCAGTACGAGTGTAGTATCGACAGGGAACGTACTCGGTTACTAACGTAACCTTGGTTCCCTGAGATACGGGAATGAGTACTGCGTTGCTAGCCGTGCTACGTAGCTGCACGACTCAGTGTCGTCGCTTCAGTCAAAGTAACCTGAGGATCCTATGGCAAATGCCTCTGGCGGGCTTCATTGCCATAGGCTCGTGCAGCTCCGCTGCCGATCCATTGGTTCATTTTTAATTCACTGCACGAACCAACGGCTGTGCAGTTACACTGTGTTATTGAAAAAGACTTCAGTTAACGGAGAAAAAGGACTTTTCCCATAGCGTGGTTCCCTGAGATACGGGAACGAGTACTGTGTTGCTAGTCGTGCTATGTAGCCGTACGACTCAGTCGTCGCTTCAGTCGAAGTAACCTGAGAATCCTGTGGTGAACGTCTGCTTATATAGCCAGATGCCCTGCCCATTCTGGCCGGCTTTGTTGCCATAGGCTCATGCAGCTCCGCTTCAAAAAAAGGCTTCAGTTCAGGAGAAAAAAGGCTTTTTCCTATAGCGTCTTAGCAGACACAGTACTCGTTCCCATATCTCAGGGAACCGAGGTTACGTTAGTAACCGAGTACGTTAACTTTCGATACTTCACTTCGTACTGCGTCGTTAGACGCTACGGGAACCTATTCAATCACACCGTGCTATGGTAGATGAACGACTTATACGTAATTGTCCAGGGCGTCCAGAAAGGGGCCCTGTAGATCAACTACAATGAAGCAGACCATAGCCAGAGACCCGGATTCTTTTTGGGGTCACGAGGAGCAATAACAAATGTAGATTCTACAGCATCTAATACTTAAGCTTCATTCATCGCACCCAAAGAAAAACCGCAGTGCTTTACAAATATAGGACAGGATGAGCTAAATAACTTATCACTGCATCTAAACCAACATGCCTGTTAGATCCTGTACCCAGTAAATTACTGAAAGAGTTGTTACCTGCAGCAGAAGAACTACTTCTCAATATTATTAACTCATCGTTATCTTTAGGTCATGTCCCAAAACCATTCAAGCTGGCTGTTATTAAGCCTCTTATTAAGAAACCACAACTAGATCCTAATGAACTGGTAAATTACAGACCCATTTCAAAACTTCCGTTTATGTCTAAAATTTTAGAAAAAGTTGTGTCTGCTCAATTGTGCTCCTTCTTGCAAAAAAATATCTCTATGAAGAATTTCAGGTTTCAGGCCCCACCATAGCACAGAAACTGCACTTGTTAAAATTACAAATGGCTTGCTTCTTGCGTCAGACCAAGGCTGCATCTCATTGCTAGTTTTACTTGATCTTAGTGCTGCGTTCGACACTATAGATCATGACATACTCATAGATCGATTACAAAACTATACAGGTATTCAAGGGCAGGCTTTAAGATGGTTTAGATCCTACCTCTCCGATCGCTACCACTTTGTTTACTTAAACGGGGAGTCATCTCAATTATCACCAGTAAAGTATGGAGTGCCACAAGGATCTGTCCTAGGTCCTCTGCTATTTTCAATATACATGTTGCCCCTTGGTAATATTATTAGAAAATACGGAATTAGTTTCCATTGTTATGCTGATGATACTCAACTATATATCTCAACAAGACCAGATGAAACATCTAAATTATCTAAGCTAACAGAATGTGTTAAAAATGTAAAAGATTGGATGACCAATAATTTTCTCCTATTGAATTCGGATAAGACAGAGATATTACATATTGTACCAAAAAGCAGTACACAGAATCTTTTGGATTACAATTTGCAACAAGACGGATGTACTGTTACTTCCTCTACAGTCAAAAATCTGGGTGTTAAATTAGACAGCAACTTGAAAATCATATTTCCCATGTTACAAAAACAGCATTCTTCCATCTTAGAAAC